CCTTCAGGAAACTTCAAGATACTGTGCCTCCAAGTAGGAAGATAGAGCTCTTTCATAACCTTGTTTTACCAGCAAAACCCTCCCCTCAAACTCTCTCACTCAAAACCACTTCAGAGGTCACCCATGTCTCTGGGAAGAGACTGCCAACTGGTGGATACTGACAGTGACAAAATATGTTCTAAAAATATGCACCTGTCTTTTTATTTTTAAACAATCCTATTTTACATGCTAATTCCAGTTCCCTCTCCCTGCTCTCCTCCCACTCTCTCTACTTTCCCTCCACCTCATCCCCCATCCATTATTGGAGAGCATGAAGCCTCCCATGGGGAATTAATAAATCTGCCACATATCTTGAGACAGGACCAAGGTTCTTCCTGCTGTATCTAGGCAAAGCAAGGTATCCATAAGTGATGGGTTCCAAAAAGCCTGTACATGCACTATGGATAAATACTAGTTCCACTGCTAGTGGCCCCACAAACTGTACAAGCCACCCAGCTGTCACCCACATTCAGAGAGCCTAATTTGATCTCATGCAGGTGCCCCAGCTGTTAGTCCAGAGTCAGTGAGCACCCTCTTGCTCTGGTCAGCTGTTTCTGTGATTTTCCCCAACAAGGTCTTAACCCTTTGCTCATATTATCGCTCTTCCTTCTCTACAACTGGGCTCTAGCAGTTAATCCCAGTGCTAAATTGTGGAACTCTGCAATTGCTTCCATCAGTTATTGGATGAAGTCTCTATGATGGCGCTTAAGGTAGTCATCAATCTGATTACAAGGGAAGGACAGTTAAGAGACCCTCTCCACTATTTCTTAGATTCTTAGCTGGGGTCATCCTTATGCATTCCTGGGAATTTTCTTAGTGCAAGGTTTCTCGATAATCCCATAATGGCTCCCTCTATTAAGGTATTCTTGTGCCTTGCTCTCCCTCTCTGTCCTTCACCCAACTAAATCCTACTGGTATCTCATGTTCTTCTCCTCCATTCCCCTCCCCCTCTCTCCACTCTCCTATCACCCTCTGACTTCTTGTATGCTCCCAGTTTACTCAGGAGATCTTTCTTTTATCCTTTTCTGAGGTGGGGGATCCATGAATGCCTCTCTTAGGGACTTCCTAGTTCCCTGGTTTATCTGAAGTTGTAGACTGAAGGCTGGTCATCCTTTGTTTTATTTCTATGAGTGAGTACATACCATGTTTGTCTTTCTGTTACTGGGTTACCTAACTCAGGATGGTTTTCTCTAGTTCCAGTCATTTGCCTGCAAATTTCAAGAGGTCATTTATTTTTATCACTGAGTAGTACTCCATTATGTAAATGTACCACATTTGCTTTATCCATTCTTCAGGTGAGGAGCATCTAGGTTGCTTCTATGTTCTGGCTATTACAAATAATGTTGCTATGTACATATTTGAATATATGTCCTTGTGGTATGAGTGGTATTGCTCTATGGCACTATTAGGAGATGTAGCCTTGTTGGAAGAAGTAATCACCAAAGAAACATTGTCCTGCAGCAACACTCAGCCAAAAGTGTGATGTGTCCATCACATCTTTCTACTCAGGGATTAGGGAGTAGGATGCAGCAAGACTGTTAGAGCCAGAAGGGATGGAGGACTGTCCCGCGCTACCGTCTCGCCAGCAAGAACGACGCAGAACACTCGGATCCTTCTGCAGTAAAGCTTTAATGCATCTTGAGAGATAGATGATCAGCTTCTTAGAGGGAGACCCCAAGCTAAGAAACCCAGCCCCTTATATAAGCCTAGGAGCTCCGAGTGAGATGTGTAGAGCCGGGATTGGTGGTTTGCACATCACCCCAGATGACGTCACGGGAGAGGCACAGTTTAAACGGTTAACTCCAACTGACAGCGACAGTTAACTCTAACTGACAGCGACAGTTAACTCCAACTGACAGTGGATGTCAGCGCCATCTTCTAACGGCAATAGCGATAGCGAGGGCGGCTCCTCACAGAGGACACCAAGAAAGCAAGGCCCTCTAAATCAACATGATTGAAGAATATATGAACTCAGAGATACTGAGACAGTATGAACTGGAAAGTCATGGGTGTCCAACAGTTCCTTAGTGTATATATTATGGTTTCCAGTTTATACTTTTTATGGGATTCCAGTATGTACAAACAAGTGGTTCTCTGTTTCTTGTGCCTTCTTTGGGCTTTTTCCTTTGATTGGTTTGTCTTGTCCAACTCTAACATGTTAGTATAGTTGAATGTTTTTCTATGCGTTGCCCAGTCCTTCTGGACCAGTTTCTCTGGAACAGACTGAAAGCTTACATTGATGAACATGGGTGAAGCAGACAGAAAAAAGTTAACTAGTAATTGTGTGCATCTTTTAAACTTCAAAATGTACCTCCAGTGGCTTCCTGCAGTAAACACTCACCTCCTGATTTTTCCCAAATAATTGCACCAACTGGTAACCAAGCATTCAAATATGTGAGCCTCTCTCATTCAAACCATCATACTTACAAAACAAGGTTCAACTATGACTAAGAAATTATAAGAAAACAAAATAAAGAAAAAGAAAGAGGGAACTTTATGATTTTATTCTGGTAGAGAAAGAGAAACAAACTTGTTAAATGGCAAGGGATGTTCCTTGTCCCTTAATGCTGTGGAAAGGTGTGCAATAATAGTCTTTTGTTCTTGATCAATTATTATAATGCAGAAAAATAAAAATAGTCAGCTCTTTTGAATCTTTTGTACAGTACACATTTTATTGTGTTTGCCAATAACGACTACTCTACTGCTTCTGAGTTAAGGCATCAGAATACAACCTAGATGTATAAGGTATTGTCTTACATAGGGTTACTCATGCTATTATGAAACACCATGACCAAAGGAACTTAGAAAGGAAAGGGTTTATTTGACTTACACTTCAACGCTGTAGGCCATCATTGAAGGAAGTCAGAACAGGAACTCAAGCAGGGAGGCAACCTGGAGACAGAACCTGATGAAGAGGCCATGGAAGGATGATGCTTACTGGCTTGTTCATCACGACTTGCTTAGCCTGTGTTCTTACAGAACCCAGAACACCCAGCCAAGGAATGGCTGAACCAGAATTGGGCTTCCCCACCCAGTCAATCACTAAATAAGGAAATGCCTTACAGCCAGAACTTATGGAAACTATTTCTTCATTGAGGTTCCCTCTCTTTAGATAGATCTAGCTTGTGTCAAGTTGATATAAAACTACCCAGTACAGGCAGTATATCCCTTTGAGACAGTAGAAACTCACTCACTATTTCTATTGAGACAGGAGAATCACCATGATCAGAGTTCGAATCAACTGTAAAGAAAATGAAATCACAAAATTTGCAGGTAAATGTAAAGAAACCAAAGCTATTATACTGAGTGAGGTAACCCTCGTCCAGAGAGAAGAAAATCACATGTTCTGTCTGATTTGTTGTCCCTGGTCTGAATCTTCAGATGTGAGTACACAGCCTCCAGTCACCACAGAAACCAGGAAACTAAAATAATGCCATTGGGAGAAATGAAAGAGAGAGTCCAAGAAAGGTGGACAGTAGGACACAGTGCTACAAAGGGGAAAAACTGAGAAGGAAAATAATATTTAACTTGGAAGAGGGAAGGTAGAGAAATAGAGCAGAGGCTTCTAAGGATGTCTGAAAAGGCTTGGTCTGTTTGAGGGGTCCCTGACATGAGACCATGATCTGTCCCTGTGGAGCTGGCTCTTTGAAACCCATTCTCTATGGTGGGATGCCTTCCTCAGATTTGATGCATGGAGAGGGGTTTGGTCCAGCCTCGACCTGATATGCCAGATTTTGTTGACTCCCCATGGGAGGCAGAACCCTTTTATGAGGAGTCCATGGGGGATGAGTTATGCTGGAGGTGGTGGGGGAGAGCAAAAGGAATGGTGGGAGGGCAGGGGAAATGTGGTTGATACGTAAAATGAATTAATTTTAAAAATGTGATCAACTAAATAAGACTTGCAAAATGAGAGTGTCAACTTAGATGTCAACATAGATATGGAAAATCTCATAAGGTCCCAACTCCTAGATGTCTACTGAGAGGGGAAAAATCAACTTTCCCCAGAGATAGGACTTCTGATAGGTTATCCAATCCCTAAACACATGGACGTAAGAGCAACACTAAATGGACTCAGGTAGATGTATTTTCGTGTGTGCATGAAACACTAATTAAAGAAGAGGACATGAGCTTTAGATGGAGTAATGAAAATGTGGGAGGTGTAAAGAAGGAGGGTGATATAGAAATAATTTGAGTACTGTACACATGTATGAAACTCTCAAAAATGTTTAAATTAGAAATAATAATTGCTCTTTGTAAAAGGTTAACATATGAAAGAAGAAAGCCTGAATGGTTTTCCTAACCCAGACTTCATCTAAGGAACGTGGATTGTGCAAGAACACTGAGGCAATATGCATGGTAGAGATGGGAATTCTACAGGTCTTATAAAAACTGTTTGCAGTGTGGCCAGATGTGTTTTAGACACTCACCTCAGCTCATTAGCACACACCCATTCTTAGCAGTGTTTTCCTTCTTAATAAGCTATTTCTATTTCCATGTTCAGTATGTATTTCTGGTGCAAACCTTTTTTCCTGGAATACAGGATTGTGGTACTGGCTGCCCTCTGAAAACAGATCCATGGCTCAGGGATTCTAAGCAAATTTCTTTGTCATTCTCAGCTTTCTTGCTGTTTCTCTGACCTCTGTGGTGAACTGAAATGGCTATATTTTCTCCACCTCCTCACCTAATGATGGCTGCCTAGATTTCCTGCTTTTCTATATTGTTGTTTTTCTTTCAAAAATCTATTAAAATTGTTCTCAAGTTTGCTTTTCAGATGTTTTAATTATTGTTTTTCCTGTGAAAAATCTATTGAAATTGTTCTCAAGCTTGCTCTTCAATTTGTTTTATGCTCTTCAAATTGTTTTGAAATGGTCTTTCTAATGAGACCAATAACTCCCAAAGGGAAACTCAGTTCCCTAGTACAGTGTTGCAAAGACGGCTCTATCCCCTGTGCCTGCTTGCAGCCTGCAGCAGCAGGTTTTGGTGCTGACTGCAAGTGTCTGTGGAGCACGGTGCACCCACCACACAGATGTAAGTGGCCATATCCTCGAGCTGGGTAGCTTTGATGTGCAGGGTGCTGTTCTGAACATCTGTATTCAGAGTTGCTGAGTATCTGCCGTTTGACTTTTTGTTCTCTTTGTGAGTCATGACTGCCAGGGACACAAGACCTGCCTGTGTCTTGTCTGTACCACCTTATGTTGTTAAAGGGGTGCACAGTGTAACTGCACTGAAGGATGCAGTTCTCTCCATGCAGGACAGCCAGGGCCTGAGGACTGTGCTCCACTTGGGTCTTGCCAGCAGCCTCTATTCAGAAAACAACGTGAAATTGCAGAAATCAATCATCCACACTTAGTGCTTGTAGACTGTATTCCTTAGTCTCCACATGGATCTAAGGTGATTAGGAATAGGATGAGTTTGCACTCTCCACCTATTCTAAGGAATCACATCTTTCCCTCAGCTCCTAAGAAAATGTTCTTTGATTTCCGGTGGCTCCCTGGATAAAACCTCCACTAACTTACACTGAAAGTACAGCCACAAAATTATGAAGCAGGCACTCCAGTGTTTCTCCATTGTTCTGCAGAAGTCTGTCCAAAAGCTGCTTCCTAATTCATCAGATCTTTCTTATAACATAAGGGAACTCTCAGGAAGTACAGCCAGCCAACCAGAGACCTGAGGCCCTCATTAGCTCCTGGAGACAGGACCAATGCAAGCACTGTCATCCTGGGTTCAGAGGTGGACTCGCTCAAACCTTTGAGTAAAATTTTATGGTTCCTTTTATTGCTGTCAATGTGATGCACGATGTATCCATAAATACATGGTAAAGTGCCAATATGGGCATATTTCAAGACCTCAGTTCAATTTTGGCTCTACTTAAGACATTATATAGGACAGGTATATAGGACAGGTTTGTTCTCGTTTGAATGGATATGCCTAACTACTTTTCAAATGAATAGTAATGACTCATGGTAGGGAATAGTAGTAACATGTAGCCTGAACTTAGTCTGAACCTAAAATGTGAATTTCTTTAGAATGTGCATTTCCCCTGTTCTGTTTGTTACTATGTCACCAGTTTCAAAAAGTGAGTTTTGTCAGTAAATAGGCAAATTAAAATTTTGTTTAAAAATAAATATTTTCATTAATTCTTTGACAATTTCATGTTTGCATACACTATATTTTTAACAATGCTTTCCAAGACCTGTTGTTCTCAAATATGGTGACAAATGCTAAGAATCATCAATTCTCTGTGCTCCCAAATTATACACTAATGGAGAAGTTGAGGATCTCGCACAGGTACTGACGAGTGGTGAGTGTTGAAGGTTTTGAAATTTCCTTTCTTCAAGCTTCCTATTTCTCAGAGAAATTAAGTCAATGAAAAAGTGAAAATTATTTTGTAAATGAAGATTTACTGTTCATCTGAGATGTAATGCATAGACATGGAGAATCAAAACAATGGAAACATAACTAGCAACAAATCAAAAGGAAACTAGAATAATCTACTCGTACGGGACAAAACAGGATTCTAACAGAGTTACAGAGGTGAAGACAGTGTGATCACTGGTTTTGTGATAGTGTGGCCAGTATCCAGATAGTTAATCTATCACTAATCTAAATCTCTCTGTGAAATAGGGGGATTTCATGTGATCATTTGAAGGATTTAAAAGGAAACTGATAGTTGGGCATAGTAACTCATGGCTTTTGTGTCAATACCTGGAAGGCAGGTGTTGACATTTGTGATTTGAGGCCAGCCTGGTCTATAGAGAGTTCCAGGATAGTCAGGGCTACATAGTGAGAACCACATTTCAAAAAAAAAGAAGGAAGGAAGGAAAGAGATAGAAGAATAGAAACAAAGAGAAAGAATTAAAGAAAGAGAGAAAAACTGATGAATTTACCTCCAAATATGAGAAATTCTGGCTGATTTACCAAGGAAGTCAGCTGTCTTCTGCACAATGAGTTCCTCCTTTCAACTCTTCCTGTTCTTTTGCAAGTGAAACCATGCTGATCCTTCCTCCTTCTGCTTAAGAATTCCCCAGGTTTTCTAAGAGAAGGCTTGTAGCTTTCTGCCACCTCTCCTACCAGACTGTTAGGTCACATTATGGAGATGTTTCATTCTCCAACATATTTCATTATCTAAAGATACACAATGCTTATATGTGGTTCAGTGGCAAATCCCTTGCCTGGTATGCACTAGGCCCTGGGTATGTCCCGAATAACTGAAGCAAAATAGCTTAAAGTACGGCCGCAGAGAACTCTTCATTCTTCTAGTGGCTGGTGAAGTTATGATGCCTGCCATGAGAATTTTATAGGATTTTCACCACCAGAGAATAATAAGGCCACACAACACAGTGTGAATTTAAGCCAGACTAGTTTCAGAGGCACGAGCTCAGTGGCCAGACAACCTGCTGCCTCTCAGCTTGTGCTCAGTCCCCCTGCAGTTTCTGTCACTCGGTAACCCACAGCACAGCAGTACTCAGGCGAGTCTGACTCTTGAACGGAGGCTTTTGCAAGTGAAAGGAGTTGGATCCTCTATCATATGTTGCTTCAAAACCTCTGCTGCTTCCCTTCTTGACAGCTGTAAGGACTTTCATGAGGAGCTGTAGTCTTTCTCCAGGTTATTGAACATACCAGAAAAGAGCTGGTACCCTATGCTTGTGATTGAATACGTGCAAATTATTGTCAGGAACTTGCCTTCTGAGATGGTGACTTGGGCTCCTGCTTGAGTCACAGAGTCTCTATGTGTCCTTCCTAGAAAGCAAGGACAGTAAGAAAGGGAGATTGAGTTCTGTTTCACCTTGCGGATAACTCTCGCTCTTAGATATAAGGCTAAAAACTTTCCTTGGGAAGAGTTCATCTTTAGTGTCATCTATAAAATGGTCTTGAAGCTTAACATGAAGAAATGTTAAGTCAAAAAGAAAGAGTAAATCTACTCAGATACAAATCACACAGGTGATGCCGTGTTAGGAAACCGCACCCCCTAGTGGATCACAACTGAACTGAAGATGGATGTTATGCTGTGCCTCCTCCCAAATCTTAATAAATAAGGTATATGTCAGTCTTTAGGACCTTGTACTTGTAAAGACAGCTGTCATCCTACCTATGTAAGAATGGCCAAATCAATAAAATAAATGACAGGACATGTTGGTGGGGATGAGGGGAAAGGGAAACATTTATTATTGATGGTGATGCAAACTTGTACAGCCACCATGTAAATCAATGTGGTGATTTCTTGGGAACCTGCAGATACATGCTATACTACCCTTATGAATACACCCAAAGGACCCTACACCTTAATACAGAGGTCCTTGCTCATCCATGTTCTTTACTGTCCTATTCACCGTACATCAGAATTGGAAACATACAAGACGAATATCAACAGATGAACAGATGATGCAGTGTAGTTTATTTGCACAGTCGAAGAGGATTCCATTGTTAAAAAGTGAAATCATGAAATTTTAAGGTAATTTGATTGAACTGGAAAAAATCAACTAGAATGAGGTAACCTAAACCTTTAAGACAAATATTGTTTGTTTTCTCTTATTTATAGAAATTATCATTTAAGGTTTTGATAGGTATGCTGCAATCCAAACAGTCACAAAATTTGTGTACCACATAGGGGATTAGGACGGAAGAGAATGTCACCCAAGGAAGAAGAAATAGAATATGATGTTATAGAGAGAAAAAAGGAAAAGTAGAGTAGGAAGAATAAATAGGGAGGGGATGGAAGAGAAAGGTAAAGGAATGATTGTGGGAAGGGACAACTAATGCTAATGACCATCTGAAAAACCACAAGAGAACACACTATTGTAGAAGAATCCTAAAATATACATATGTGTTAAAGGAATCTAAATGAAGTCATTAAATAATAGGACAGACAATGCCCCAACTAGACATCTTACATCACCAAGTAAAACCTATGTTGATCCACCAGTAGGAGACAGAAATAGGGCACAGTAATAGTTAAAAATAATAAGTTCTTCCAAGCAGTGTGGCACATTCCTTTAATCCCAACACACAGAGGAAGTAGGATCTCTGTGAGTTTGAGTCCAATCTTGTCTACCTAGCATGTTCCAGGACAGACAGGACTACAAAGAGTAACTCTGTGTCAAATAAAGCAATAAAATTTAAGAGAAAAATATAGTTGTTTTTTTCAGGTAAAATAATGACAATATGGTGAAAGCCCTTGTAAGACAACACTGAAATACATACTCCAAAACTATAATTTTATTCTCTTTTCATACTTTATGTTATCACCTGACACACAATAGGCCCAAATAACTGCATTAAACAGACATGGCTATTGCAAACTTAATAATTTTGTGGTGGTAGCAATATTGAGTATTGCTATATGTTTACTAGTTCAGCAAGCACAAAACATTAATGACAACAGAAAGACAATGGTTAGAGGCAAATCCCTCTTTCCAAGTGGAAATCTTTTTACTTTACATTAAAAATATGTGTGTATGGATAAACATGTTTACTTAAAACCATGTAAATATAAAGCCCAGTACAGTGGAACATGACAAAAATCTAAGCATGTGGAAGACCAGACAATCTAAGTGTCTTCTCAATCTGAGTTCAAGGTTTGTGTGTGCAGCAAACTTTGTCTCAGGAAGAAAAGGTAGATAGATACATAGATGGATAGATACAGAGAGATAGATAGATGCTACATAGACAGATGATAGATATGGAGATAGACAACAGATAAGGAGATGAATGAGAGATAGATGATAGATACATAGATAGATAAATAGATAGATAGCATACATGTTCATTGTAAATGTAGAAAAACCTTGGTTGAATGACATACAGAGATGAATATATGTATGTATGTATCTATATATAGTGTAAGGCAAGTATATTTGAACAATAATTGGGAATTATCTATAAGTACATTCAAGAGGGAGATTTTCAAGGCAGAAAACACAAATATGATGATGTACACTAAGGACTCACTTTTAGAGCTTGCTGTGACACACAGTACTTAGGTTAATAAAACTTTTGGGTTCATCATGAGTGAACTAGGAAAGTATTTGGTTGGAGAGGTTGTTTTGATATCAACTTGCTTTTATACTTATTTATGGGTATTTTTAAAGGACTTGATTGGCCTGCTTTCTGAAAAAGAAAGTGTCCTCTATCAAGCAGAAATTCAGGAAACCCAATGCAGGACTTGAAGTCTCTAGGACCAGGCAAATACTAGAGCTCCAATGAAACAATAGGATCAGAAGCTGTGAGAAGAGACTACTTTGGATCAAATTAAAAAGTTGAGCTACTGGATTTTCTTTTGTTGTTTTTCTAAATGCTTTTTTCATACAATATGCTTTTCCATTTTTCTAAAACTTTATATTTTGAAGAGTT